CCCGCCCCCCTTCCTTCCGCCCCACCGCGGAGCCTCCTCCGCGGGCGCGGAAACCCCCGGGCGGCACGGCAAGACGTGCCCGGCCGCCATGGCCTCTGTGAGAGCCCCGCTTCTGACAAGTGCGGGGACAAAAGGTTGCGGGATTTATTAATGCGTATTAAGGAGAATCAGGGGCGATCAATAAAAGCCTCATCTACATTCTTGGGCTACTTGGTAATTTTCTTGCTTCTGAAGCTTTTTCAAGAGTTATACCCTCTGTTGCCGCGCACGGGAAGATATTTTATTAACAAATCAATCGAGACTTTGTAAAGGAGAAGATTAATAGTTAAGATTTAGCATAATGGCGCTCGCGTTATGAATTATTGAAAATTATACTATTGATTTTTTCCCTCGCTGCTAACCAAGAAGGTCAATTTTTGTTTTAACACAAATCGTCAAATATTAAAAGCTAGACTTTTGTCATAACTCCAGATTTATGGGGCGGCTACATTCCTAAAATTATTTGACAATGTTCTCTCCCGACCGCCTGAGAAAAAAAGTGGGGTTTTCACTTGCCCTGGAAATTAAAAGCATCATAAAGATAAATTCTCTTTCTGTAGTATTGCTCATTAAAAAACATACAGAAACCTGTATCCTCACTGCAACTCTCCCAATAACTTTTTTTTTTCCTATTTTTCTCTTTCTCTCTCTTTCTTTTTTATTTTCCCCCCTAAGAAGAAAGACAAACGCATCTGTATTATCTAAAAAACAAATACCGAAGGCAACAGTAACTGTCTACATAGCAAATCAGACTTTTCCGTCCAAACATTTTGACCGTGTTTTACTGTTTTCCCCACACTTCGGATCCATATTTACGCCCAAAGATATTACATTTTAAACAGTGACGGTATGAAGTCTTTGTTATTACTCTTTTCCCTTTTTTTTTTTTTTTTTTTCTTTTTCCCTTCCCCTCTCTCCCCCACAGCTGTTCTCAAACTGGAGTATTTCTTATCTGGGACTAATGCTGTCAAGGACTCTCTTCCAGACAAAGTGAACTTGTTGATAATTCTTGATTCGGATTTATCCGCCTGTTTCTTTTGGGCCTTTCTGCCATCGAAACGCCCTTTCAGCTCCCCAAGAGCGGGCAGCACGTGAAAGGATTTTAAAAATCGAAACCCGTCTTTCGCACAGCTGAAGACATGCGTTTTCCACCAGCGTGGATTGGAATTTTCCCCTGTTTCCTGGCGTTTGAGTGTTTTGCACTTTACCGTACACTTTACCCGGCTGGAAACAATAACCCTATTTAAAATTTCGCTGTGGCAATGAGACAGACCTTTTAAAAGCTTACCGCAGCTGTTCAAATACAACATCATTGTCAGGTTAAGAGCCAGTGTCTTTTATAGCTGCAGCCTCCAGCTTCTGGCTCGCCGGAGAGTTTAAATATTACCTTCGCCAAAGTCTCTGCTCTGCAGAGCTCTCCGCGGCATCCCCGCGCCCCGCGCAGCCCCTGCCCGCTCCGGGCGCGCTGCAGCCCCGCCGGGCTCAGCCGAGGAGCGGGATGAAGCTGCGGCGAGATGTCTGTCTGGGATCATGATCAGAGCCATTGCTACGAGTCGCCTGCGCCGGGAGAGAAGCTGCGCGGAGCCCGCGACGCTCCCGCAGAGCGCGGCGTTTCCCCCCCTCGCTTTCTAGCAATTTCCTCCTCTTCAACAACAGCCCGGACAACCCACAGAGTTTAAAGAAACAAAATACTATTTTCCTGGACGCAGTTTAAGACTTGACTGTTAAATCTAATCAGGAATTTTATGCCCATCAAATGGCTCTTTCATAATCTTTATTTACACTTTCGGAAAAAGGGGGTCCCAGAAATATTCCAGCTGAAGTATTAGCCCAGAGGCTTGCAGCTGGTTTCGCCCAACAGTAAAGTTAAAACAATCAGCAAACGCTGAGCTGCTTTCCACGCCAGCCTCGCTGGTGCTAGAGGAGCTGACTTCTTGGCTCCTGATTAGACATGAGGGCTCTTTGATTTTTTAAATTGAAAATATTAATTTCTTGCATGTCACTACACGGAAAATCAGATGATGGTTGTGATGATGATTTAAATATCGTATTCAGAACTGGTGAACGGCTCCATACGACCCTTCGCTCACGATAAATCAAGAGCGTTTTAAAAAACGAGCCGCAATTTTTTATTGAAAATGAACAGTAAGAAAGTTTAAATTTGATGTAAATAGAAGTTGAATAAACATGCGTGAGCCGCTGGGGAACTGGGGACTTAGGCTCTGGGCATTTAATGTCACTCTTGTTTTAAATCATATTAAAATGGAATCAAGTAATTAACATTAATAAATAAATCAATATTGTGCAATAAATGAGATATACAATCTACATTAATATAAAGGTTTTGATCTCAGAGCCCCATATTTTTCCCAACGAGGGAGAAAAAAAGCCCCAACCAACCAATGGGTCCATACAGATGTAAATTACTGTTTGTAATAAAGCATAGGTGGACATTACAGTTTTCTCCTCTAGCAAATGTCAGGGCTAAAAACTTGAGGTTACCAGACGTGGCAACAAGGTTTAATTTTCACTGCCTTATCTCCCTGAACCTTATTAGTGCTGATATGATTATTTTTTTGTCTCGGCTGTGCTGAGGATTCTCATAGATGCAATTTGCTGTGTTTGTGTGTCATTATGGGAGGGGGATGGGAGAGAGGTACGATATTTTGCAGATGCCTTCAGTAACAAAGGTATTGCTGGAAATATTTAAAAAACAGGCTGGAACCCAGGAAGCTCTTTGTAAAATTCCTTTCATTTACTTGATTTCAACATTTTATTGAGGGTGCCTTTAAACGCGCGGGTTGTATAGTTTATGCCACGCTGTTATATTGCAGGGAGATTGAATAATAGTTTTTATTTAAGGAGGGGAAAAAAAAAAAATTGGCTACGATATTGTGTCCTTTCTTCTTTCAATAATGCAACTGTCACGTTGCCCAGATTTCTATGTGTCATATTTTCCTAGAAAGAGTCGGTGTCTGGACCGAGGGCTCAGATTCCCTGGATTTTTTTGACCGAGGGCGGGGGGAGGACGACGACGATGACACACGACGACGACATACTTAAGACATGCCTTTTCCTAAATATGACAGCTTATCAAATAAGCTAAATAGCACGCTGGCCGTTTCGTGAAAGATGTTATTTCTGAGTGTGGGGATGGCACAGGAGCCGTGGCTGGTAGTCCCAGCATCGCCCGAAGCCTCAGCCCTTCCTCTATTGTATTTCTATATTTGGGTGGACACAGAAGTGCAGATCTGGTAGGAAGGGATTTTAGCGTGTAGATGGGTCGCTGGTGCAGCCTTCAGCCTCGATGTATGGTCTGTACATTTAACTTTCGGCAGATTTCTGCCGCATTTATAGTTTAATTAGAAAATAAGCTAATGCCCTTTTCTTTCTCCATAAAGGATAAGCCCGAAGACACTTGGAAATAGGTTACAGCCTTTCCTGTCTAAACAAATCAGGGAAAGCGGAAGGGAAAAAAAAAAAAAAAAAAAAAAAAAAAAAAAAAAGGAGTTGGAGACTCTCACAGAATCATCACATTTACACGATGATTCAAAAAAGCAGAGAGCGGCGTTTCCACATCCCGGTGTATTTTTCTTAATTCACAACACATCCTGACTGGCTTTACTGGTTCGCACGCGGGGACATCGGCCTCACTGTCTCTGCGATGGGGCTGGGGAGCCTCGAATGGAGCCTGGTGGGTTCGGGGTGGCTGTGGACTCTCAGAAGGAGCACTTGCACGCCAAGAAAAAGAAACAAACACCAAAACTTCGCTAGAGGTTTCCCTCTCGAAATGAGTATCTCCACCGAGAGGCCAGGAGATTTTCCTTCGGGTCCATCTGCGCCTGCCAGGGCTACCTTGGGCGTTAGGGAACCTGAGGATTTCATACACTGCAGTGCCATTTCATTACCAACGGAAAGGCTATCTCTAGGAAAGTGTTAACAATGAACTTCTAAAAAACCCCACAAAACCAACCAGACAAAACAAAAGACGAACAACAACAAAAAAGAAAAACAGCCCCAAAACCCATCAGACAAAGTGCCAACAAATGCTTTCACGAGAGACGGGGCTTTAAAAAATATGGCTGAGCGAAGGTGAAATAGCTTTCGGTTAATTCTGCAAATAAGCAGAAAACAACGAAGCCCTTTATTTGCTCAGATTCTGTCCGAAAGTGCGCGCTGGAGGGAAAAAAATAAACCAGAAAACCAGAAAAACAGAGCACGCTTGGTTCCTGGAGAGCGGCCAGGAAATCCATGAGCTTCAGTTTAATTGTCTAATCTCTAGTTTCATTTTAACAGATCTCTATAGTACTTTTAAGAAGAGGGATTTTATTCAGCAATGCCTTGGCAAGGTGATGTTCGGATATTAAAAATATCTTCTTTTCGCTCTAGTCTTTCTTTTTGTCTTTAAAAAAATAAGCGCTCTCCGGATCTAACATTAATCTCGCCTTTAACTGAAATATATTTTTGAAATTATGCTTTCTGTACCTAGAAGTTTATTAAAGAAAAGCGTCGAATAGGGATAGAAGATAAGCTGTGGAAACGCATGGGTTTTATATTACTTTTGTACTACCCACGTTAAGGCTGTCCTTAAAGGAGAAAAGAGATTTTCGTTCCAGGGAACGAATTCTGAATATCAACTTTTTCTTTTCTTTCTTTTTTTTTTTTTTTTTCCCTTCTTTTTTTTTTCTTTATTTCTTAAAATTATGGGATTTTTTTAAAGCTCGTATACATTATAAAAGACTACCATCCCTCCTAAAAATTTCTTTTAAAGTGGCATATTTCTCCAACACGTCACGATGACGGGTTATTTGTTTAATAAATCTTTTTTATGCTTTATTTTCTCATTTGGAAGGCCCTGAAATCTTATCGTTACTTATATATTAGATATTTTATTAGCAGTGGAATGATTATTAGGGGGAAAACAGGCTGGAGGAGCAGGAGGCGGTGGCGTTAGGGGGCACGGGCGCGCCCTCCTGTGGCCGATGGCGGCAAGTACCGGGGAACCTCCGCCTTCCCTCCTCCGCTCCGCGCCCAGGCACGGGTTTCTTCCTTTCTTTTTAAATAGAAACTTAAAACTGCTATCGCTGAGCATTTATGCAAGATTAATGCTAGGGTGTTTCGGTTTCCGCGGCCCTCTTTTGTGGTGTCTTAGCGTTTTAAAGGCGTAATAAGCCGCTAAAATAGACTGTTAAAGCACTGCAGGGAACAGAAAATCAAACGACTCGTTCTCGCCCTGTGGATTAAGGCTCGGGAGAGACCCGAGAATTTTGCGATAAGGTCAGGAGAAACGCTTTGAGAAATTCCCCGCGGCTTTCCGCTTTTCTAATTAATGGGCTTTGTGGGAAAACGCACATCCGCGAAAAAGCTACATAGAAATACCATCTTTCTCCCCTACATTACAAAGAATTTCCTCCAGACACGCATTATTTTTTTTTTTTCTGAGAGAAAAAAGAAAAAAAACAAAAAGAAAGAAAGGGGGAGGGAAATAAAGAAAGAAAGGAGGAAAAAAAAAAAAAAAAAAAAGGAGAAGAAGAAGAGAGAGATTTGGAGCGAATTCCCGGGTGAGGAAGAGAAAAGGAGGGAAGAGAGGAGCCCGCCGAGCTCCGGCTGGCGGGAACCCGAGCGGGGCACGCTCCCCGCACGCCGCGGAGGGCTCACCTCGACCCAGCCGGGATTTTCTTTGCGATATGCTGCTTTTAGTAACACGGCCAGCTATGCGGTAATAAGTGTGTGTGGGGTTGTGAGTGTGTGTGTGAGAAAGAGAGAGGGAGGGAGAGAGTGGGTGGTGGTTGAAAATAACAGAGGAACCTTAAGGCGCCTAATTATTCAGAAAGGTTAAAGGTGATGACCTTGACATTTTGGAAGTTCAAAGACATACACTTATGTTTTTCTTGCTAAAGGGTTTAAAAATTATTTTTTTTTTAAGTCATGCCTCCTTCCGCTTCGATTTCTCGATTTTTTTGAATTCTCGGGCTTTTCCCGACTTCCTCGGGCACTTTTGCCTTCCCTGCGCGCGAGCGTGGCGAGAGCCGCTTCGTCCCATTCAAACCAGGCAAATTCTTTCCTCACTCCCCGCCTTTATTGCACATTGCGGAAATCTCTTTTTCACCCACCAGAAGGTGTATAATATAACCCAATTAAGCTGTTTAGAACCTCGGGTTTTATGGTGTTGTCTAGACAGTTCAAGGTTTTGTAAACAGCCCAGCCCGGTCACGCAAGATAAAGCGGCGCGGAGCTGAGCGGACTCTGCGCCGCATCCGGCCCCGCGCAGCTCCCGCCGCGCTCCCGGCCAGCGCGGCCCTCCGCTCGCCCTGCTGAGCGACCATATTTTAAAAAGCCATCCCTCTGCCTCCAAAGTTTGGGTTTTTTTTTTTTTAAATCTCACCGCTGGTGCCAATTGTTTATTGCTCCCCCTTGTCCGACCAGCTCTGAGCCCCCGGTCTTTCTGCCCTACCCTTCAGTAACGAGCAAACAGGCACTGGCGTTGGGATTGTGGGCTTATTGGGAGCCTGACCAGTTTTTTTTAAAAAGGGGGGGGAGGGGGGGCTTTTTTTCGTTGTTTATAGTAATGGTAGCCCCACCAGGCGTGGTGGGCTGCAGACAGCCATGTTGGCTCTGCCTCGCAGCGAGCAGGGAAGGCTGCGAGCACCTACGGAACGAGAGTTAGACATCTAAACTCTTATTTATTTTTAAAGCATTTAAAACAACCCGACCAGGCTTCCTCCTGTTATTGATAACTGACCTTGGCTTTAGCCCGAGAAAAACTAGGATCCTTCAGAGATGGAAATCCATACAGTGCACTGAATTTATAACCTTAACTTTTCTATAAACCATTTATTCACATGAAAAAGACAGTGGCCCATGCTTTTGGATGACAATAGAAACATATATATATATATATTTATATAGCGAACGTACATTTACCATCTCTTAAATAAGCTGCATTCACTTAAAGGGAGGAAAGTGTTACCCTAGCTCAAAAGCAACAACAGAGCCTCCCCGAACTCAATGAATTGTAAGCAAAAACTACCAGGCACACTGCAGGTCCATTGCTGGTACTGTGGTAGAGGGAAGGAAAAAAAAAAAAAAAAAAAAAGCACCTTTGGCAGAAACACTTGAGAGTGGGCAGTTGCATTTACCCTACTTTCCCCTTATCAGGAATCTGCTCCGCCAAGCCCCGAAATCTCCAGTGGCCATTCAGTGTGTGGAGTTGCACATGAAAATGAAATGTTGAGGTCCGCAGGGTGGATGTGTCGTGTAAACCCATTTACTTTCGCATTCGGATGGCAGGTCTGAGAGACAGATATTCTTTATTTTTCTTCTTTCTTCCTTTTCTCTTGCTCCCTCCTTTTTCTTTTTCTTTCTTTTCTTTTCTTTTTTTTTTTTTAAAGTATTGTTTTCCTTTCTTTTTCTTCTACATTTACTTATTTATTTCAAAACAAGGGATTCCCAGTGAAATATTGGAGTCGATCTCTGTTCAGTTTCTTTTCTTTCATCCTTCGATTCTGAAACCAGATTTTAACTTGCCGGTCGGTGAGGTTGAGCATTCTGGACAATTGCAGTCTTTTCTCTTTGTTTATGTATACATTGAAGAAAAACTCCCGTTCTAGTTCTCTTATCTGATACTTGGTATAGGGACACCTCTTTTTCCTTGATCGCTGGGGAATTGCTGAAGTTCAAGAGAGAAGAAACTGATTTATGCTGCTGCTACTAACATGCTCAGCTAGGAAGAGATCAGAGACTTTGACAATATCCCATTGCCTGGAAAGCAGCCCTCTAGCAGTTCCAAAAAATATTCCTGGGGCTTTTACTCTCTGGGTGACTTAACAAAAAAAAGTGCATATTTCCCAAATTCTCCTTTAAAGAGAGCACTTCAAGCAATACAGAGAGATATTTAAATGGGCTGGAAAAATTCCAAGTTTCTCAAACTCCTCTCACCACCACCACCACCACCTCCCCCCCGCCCCAAACAAACGAAGATCTTAAGCTCTAAACCGAAGGCAGCCCTCAGCACTACCTGTGAAATCTCCGCGTCTCCCCCCCGCCAAATCAACAATTTAATAACAATTAATATCCTCTTCCAAGAATACCTTAAGCCCACCTAAATTGGTTTCCTATCGTAAACACGCTTTACAACGGTAAAGGAAATCTTATAGGATATATAAAATCCTTTGGATGCTTATAAAATTGCACATAAAATGCGGCTTGACAAAGTGTTGGCCTTGTACTCTTGCCCCCAATTTACTACTGATACCTACCTGAACTGTTGCTCTTCTCTGCAACAGCCTCACCAGAAGGGGAATCGGCGCTGTTTGCTGGTGTCACTTTCTTCTCTTGGCTAGAAGGTGTTTTACTGCAAGTGCTGTTCTGGGCTTTCAAGTCTCCCTTGTCCGCGTCCCCCTCGCCCTCGGAGTGCTGTTGGTACGGGGGTCCGGGGGCTGTCTCGTAAAACTGGTCGAAGCCTTGCGGCAGGATGCCGTTCCTCCCCACCGAGCTGTAGAAGTTGGAGGCGGCGGGAGACGGTCCGTGGTGGCCGCAGACAGGGTCCGTTTTGAATAACATTTCCGCCCTCCTGTTCGCAGGCTGCAGAAAGTCTCTGTGCATCACCTCTTCAGCTGAGTAATAAGGAGCATAACTGCCCCTGTACTGCCATTTGCTGCGCTCTAATCCGTATTCCCTGAATGCTACTTCACGCACAGGTTGGACATGAGGTAAATTAGAAGAATAAGGAAAAGTCATTTGACAGGACGACGATTGCGACAAAAAAGAGGGTTTCGTCGAGAAATCTGAGGGTGAGACGTAATAAGCGCACCCTGGCAAATACATATTGGATGTGCCGTGATTGCAATCGTCAAATTCAGTCATGTCTTCCTTTTAGCGATTGCAAGCAACCAGGAGGCTTCAATGCATTGAACAAGATCCATCTATTGCACAAGAGGGTTTGGACAGGATCAACTAAGAAAAAATCCCCACCGTGTGCTGACGTGCAATTCATCTTGATTGATTCTAGTGGTAATTATGTCACGTGACGCGATGCAGAAATGTCCTTATATCTATATCAGCCCCTCGGAAAGGCTCCTAAGATCTCGCCAAAGAGCCCTCCCAGCACCGAGAGAGGAGGGCAGCGTTTGAACAAATACAGACGCTTTTTCTCCTCATCTTTTTACCACTCCATGAGAGATACACGTAGGTGGTGAAGCTGATCACCTGGGGCCGCGCCGCCCGGGCAGGCGCCTGCCCACCGCCCCAGCCCTGCGCGGAGCCCCGCGGCGCGCAGCTCCCCTCCCG